CTAATCTGTTCTCAAATATCTGCTACCACCATCCACTATACCATGTGGTTAGAAGCACACTGGAAGAACATCCGTCAAACCCTGCTGCTTCTTTTCACTGCTGCTCTTCTCATTGGGGTCACCATGCTAGCCATTTCCTCCAACATTAATCCAGTAGGCTACTTCTTCCTAGGGGTAGGTGGAGTGTGCCTGATTGGCTATTTGCTGAGTGTGCTTATTGAGTGTTACCTGAAGCATCGACATGACGCAAATGAGATACCTCCAAACAGTCAAAGCCAAGAGGGGTAAGCACTATTTCTTCTTACTTTAACTCTCTCTCCTCAAGCACGGCCATTTTACGTATTGTTTTGCCAGCCTTCCCCTAGGAAGATAAACACAAAAACCATTCCAAAAGACAAAAGGGTTTTCCTGTATTAATATGGCACAGGTTGCAAGTACCTGTGCCACGTATCTCTTTTTTCTTGTCCAGTATTATTTTCGTCCCCCTTCACAATGACCTACAAACCATTTCCAAAGTTACGAAGGTTAAAAAACCAGGCTCAGTTTTACCTTCCATTGAGTAATTGAGTCCTGCCAAACAATGAGTCAGACAAGGAAAAAGAAAAAAAAGCCAAGGTAATACTGAATCTCAGGTGGATTTAGTTCTCTAAACCTTATCTCTAGAGCAACTGTTCCTTGGTAAACTTTTAAAAAAGAACCTGTAACTGGGTGTTTTTCCAGTCTTAAAAAAAACATTTGACACTAGCAGGCCCAGACTTTGAGAGGCTCTAAATATTTCCAGATCTTTTTGGCTTCTTTTGCAGGTTACTCAGTATGATTAATTTTATTTCAATTCACCTACTGTGGCTGAAGAGTTTATCTGTATGTTTGCTTCTGTGGCCATATAATCCAGACAATCATTATCCAGCTCCATAAGTTGCTTACAGTTATCAGACACAGGATATTGTAGGAGTGCAGGAATGTTCTTACACATTTATTTTTAGAAAGCATATGAGAAAGAAACTTTGGCTTTGCCAACTTTAAAACATAGTAGAAGAAAACTGCTACCTACTTATTTAAAAATATGACCTAAAATATAAGAATTTTCTAAAGTAGCACTTTTCTCTGCAGACATTTTTCTTCAGACCTTGCTTCAATTAAGTGAAAATACTTATGTTTCTCTTAACTTATTTAAGAACTTATGTTCTTAAAAATTTATGAACACTGAGCTATTACAACAGAGATTAGATTTAAAAAAACAAAACAAAACAAAACAAAACATGGCTCTGTTTTATTCAGATAAATAATTATTAATTAACAATTCTTAGTAATACATTTTAAATAAGTGTATATCAATATAAGCCTAGTATACTGAACTGAACGGTGTTGGTTTTTTTTTTAATTTTTCTGGTAACAGTGGGAAAATGGTCAAATGAGCCAAATAGACCAGGAGGCAAGACATTAAGCTGGCTGGACAAGTGAGCAAGTGCAATAACAGAATATCACATACTTTAATACCACAGGAGATATCCTGCCCCAGTCCTACCTACTGATTGAAGCATAGTTCCATTTCTATGTTATCCAACTACATGCCTCTGCATTAAAATTAAAATGAATGACCACAGTAACTGACATTCTGCTTCTGTGCACAGGATAAATGCTGCCTATGAAGCACCTACATACGAGGAGGTGATGACTATGTCAGCGCCAGCAATATGGACAATAGCATCCAATCCAGGCTCAGTGCCCTCACCACTGAGTGAACCTCCCCCTTATAACGTCGTTATTGAATCAACTGCCCAAGGAGAGACTGCGGTGGTAATTCCTGGGGTCTCAGTGGCATCAAACACGAGGAGCACCTCTGAGCCAGACAGGAACTCCAGGATACACTTGCAACTGGTTCTGCCCCGAAGCCAGCAGCGCTTTATTTCAGACACCAATGAAATGAAAGGTAATGCAGATAGGTATGAGCCACTGGAACCACTCACTCCACCACCTGCTTATGAGAGTGCCATCTATGATGAGGTCTTTGAAGACGTTTTTCAGCCCTCCATATTAGATTAATTCCACTTTCTATGAATGCAGGACCAAACATTCGCCTTAATATATTGTTTGTCTTTCCATTCTTTGAAGCAAAGCTGAACTAGCACCTAATTCACTAGAGCCCTTTTGCACAAAATATAACTCACTGCAATACCACAGTGCCTCATCTTGGCACAAGATAAACAAAGACACAGAAAAGAACATTGTGATATACAGCAGCAACTCAAACTGGAGATGCACCTTTTGTGGGGAAGAAAGTGAATTGTAAAGAAAGACAACCTGCATCAGAAAGGAGAGGAACAGAAGCATTACAAACACCAGCATCACAGAGCAATGTGATCATCAACCACCTTACATTTCTTACTAAGAGACTGAGACTGCAGTTCCATGATTATAAAAGTGTTGGTACAACACACATTTACTTTCTGTGATGTTTTGTTGCCACCCCTCTGCTGCACTCCCACCACTGCTTTTGTTGTGCTGTGACTAAGAAGAGGGTGGCTGTGCTCATTTGAAAGCTAGCACCACTTACTACCTACCACTTCACTGCTAACCAGCTTGAGGTTGAAAAGCTCACAGCAGGAATGGGATTATAATATTACACATGCTGTTCAGAATGTTCTATGTAGTCTCCAGATTGTTGACTGGAGGAAGAAAATAGCATCTCTTTCTCATAGAACATATACATACTCTCTGTCTGGAGCACCAATTTTTACAGCTCTACAGGAGAGTTTATTTATGCTACAGTGCAGGCTCAAACAGACTGCTCAAGATACTTCATTGTCATCATGGCACACATCAGTGTAAAAAGGTCAACAACTAGAGTTCATTGTAACAACCCTGTGCGTGGAGGCTTTTTTCTGGAACCTAGAAAGGACCAGCCTCTGTGTCAAGGCTGTGACTGCAGCAGAGAGCACTTGCAAATAGGAGCCACAAAGCAGAGATGGCCTTCATCAAGACAGCTCCCCTTTTGAGCCAGGTTTGAGCTCTCCCAATTAGCGGTGCTAAACAGTGTTTTTAAATGGGCCAGTTAAACTATTAGGATCTGCAGCGCTGAAGTGGTTTGCAGTATGCAAAGAGACGCTGAGATCTGATGAATGTCAAAGTTTTTCAGAAACAGAGAAAAATGGTCATCCAAATCTCCTTATGATTGAGAATAACCATCATCACAGCATTGTTTCCTATGACTACAACATTTTTCACTCATTTCATAAGCTAAAAGCAAATAAATTATTTCTTATTGCTTGATTCTTTATAGTTGAAAGGAAAAAAAAAGAAGTTGTATGTTGTTTATAAATAAACAGGAATACATCAGAAATATTTATTGGCATTGACACTAATTGTAACAATATTATTAAGCTTGCTCCTGTTTGTTGGTGGATACCCCTGCCCTGCAATTTGTTTAGGGAACAGAGCTGTGTCTCTGAACCAAGGAGATAAGGAAGCTCTGCTGAGTCTCTGTAATGAGGAAATAGAAGATCCTGCTTGGAATCGGTCCCTGAACATGTAACTGAACATGTAACACTTCTGGGAAACTTCAGCACACATAACACATCTGAGAAACTTCTGCACATGTACACATCTTGAAATATTTCTGCATATGTAACTCCAGTTACGTATATAAGCTGAAGATCGTTTTTGCAACCTATGTATGATAGGAGAATTACCCCCCATGCATCCAACACTACTATTAAAGAATGTCTGCTTTCTAATACTCCACCTTGAATCTTAGAGAGTTCCCCGGTAGACCATCATACGGTATCACCATTACGCTTATTTAATAACACTGGCTTAGAAAAAGAGGAGTTGCAATTCTAAACCTTCAGACAAGTCACTTCATTACGAGCAGAGATGAAGCAGCTATGATACCTATTTTGTAACAGTAGTATGAGAGGCAAGTTCGCTGGTAGAGATGTGGTGACTTTTTTATAAAGCCTACCATTTCTTGCACGTTTACTGATGGGTCATCACATAATTGTAGAGTGGCCTGGATTGGAAGGGACCTCAAGGATCATGAATCTCCAACCCTGCCTCAAGCATGACCACCAACCTCCCCATTTAATACTAGACCAGGCTGCCCAGGGCCCCTCCAGTCTGGCCTTGAACACCTCCAGGGACGGGGCATCCACAACCTCTCTGGGCAGCCTGTTCCAGCACCATACTGCTCTCATAGTAAAGAATTTCCTCCTGACATCCCACCTACATCTTCCCTCCTTCAACTTAAAACCACTTCCCCTTGTCCTGCTCTTATCTACCTTGTAAAGAGTTGACTCCCCTACTGTTCATAGGCTCCCTTGAGGTACTGAAGGCTGCAAGGAGGTTCTCTTCTCCAGGTTGAACAAGCCCAGCTCCCTCAGCTTGTCTTTGTAGGGTAGGTGCTCCAGACCTCTATTCACCTTTGTGACCTACCTCTCTATTTCTAGGCTTTATTTCTGCCTAAGCTCAGTGTCATTCTTGGCACGGGCAGCATAGTTAAATTCTTGTATTTCTTACCTGTGTGCCTGGTGTCATTGTGTTTGTGGACCATCTCTAACAGCTCCCTGTCTTTCTCGTACTGGGGGCCCCAGACCTGGACACAGTACTCCAGATGGGGCCTCACAAAGAGCAGAGAGGGACAGACACCTCCCACTCCCCGCTGGCCTCCCCGCTGCCCCCCCTCTTGTGATGGAGCCCAGGATACCATTTGCTTTACAAGCTGCAAGAGCACACTGCTGGCTCACGTTCAATTTTCCATCCACAGCTGTGCTATACGGGAATGGAGACTTTCATGGCCCAAACTGAGTGGCCCAGGACTTTCCTCAAACTGCTAGGAGTCAGAAAGAATTTCAGGTGACCAACACACACAAAAACTAGCCAGAAGAAAGACCAAAAAAATGCCACCGGTTACAGTCGCTAAGGTTTCGTTTTCTTAATCCATAATGGCGATTAAAGCTTTCCAGCTTCTGTAAAGCTTCCGCGTGTGAAACGGAAAAACCCACCTTCCACCTCTAAAGGTCGAACCGCCCTCTTTCCCCGCCGCCACGCCGAAGGCGGGAAAGAGTGGGGAGCCATGTCGCTCTGCGCGCCTATCAGTCCCGGAGTTCCACGCTGAGCATGCGCGTAAAGGCGGAAGCCGCAGGGCCGCGGGGAAGACGGTTCGGGAGGTGAGTGAGGGAGCGGCGGCGTTCCGTCCGGCGGTGGTAGCGGAAGAACGCGGTGCTTGGTGCCAGCGGGAGCCGGGGGCCAGTTGCCGTGTCCCATGCGGCCTTGGGAATCAACGGTGGAGGGTCTTGTCCGCCCGTTATCCGGCGGTCTCTTTCCCCCCCAGCAGAAAGCTGGGCCGATTAAGGTCGGCTCTTGTCACGGAGTTGGGTTTTGGTCCGCACTCTCTTACCAGGATGCTGGGAGCGTGCGGCATGCAGCGATACCACCAGGAAGCTCTAAAGAAGAACCGGGTGATGCTGGCGAGAGAGCTGGTTTTGAAAGAGTTGATGGAACACCTGATAGAGAAGGACATCATCACCACTGAGATGGTGGAAATGATACAGGTATGCCAATTAAATTCGACTGCACTGTTAGCTTTATTTCTGCCTAAGCTCAGTGTCATTCTTGGCACCGGCGGTATAGTTAAATTCTTGTATTTCTTACCCGTGTGTCAATGTGTTTGGACAACACATGCGACAGTATGGGTCTTTTTTGCAGCTTGCAGGAGAACTGGAAGCTGCTTTTGGCCATATGGGGTTTTGTCTGATTTAGTAAATTACTGCCTTATATGCTGGCCTGTAGCTATGACAGGCTGGTTTTTGTGAGCCAGGTGAGTTCTTCTCACTGGGTGATAACTTGTCTCTCTTTTTTCCATTTGTGAAAGCAGAAAAAAAAAAACCCAAAACAATTTCCCAAAGAATTCTGTGGGAATGTATAAATGAATGTGTTATAAACTAGCTGACTTTGGCACTGTGCATCTTTCACTTATAGAATTTGTATTTCATGTGTTTTTGTAAGTTGTATGATCTAAGACTATCAAATGACAAATATTTCTCACAAGCTTTTCTTACTTATTCTGAGCAGCACGTACTAGAATCATAGTTGAAAGGGGCCCTCAAGGATCGTGAAGTTCAACTTCTGTGTCCACAGAGGAACACCCAAAATTCAAATCCTATGTTTGAGTGTCCAAACAATTCTTGAACTCCAGCAACTTGGGACCATACCCCACAGCCCTGGGGAGCCTGTTTCAGGGCCCTACTACCCTCTGGTGAAGAACCTTTTCCTAAACTCCATACTGCTTATCCCTGATGCAGCTCCATGCTGTTCTCTTGGTTCCTGCTGCTGTCACCAAAGAACAAAGATCAGTGCCTGCCCCTTGTCTTCCCTTGTGTGGAGTTGTAGGCTGCCATGAGGCCTCCCCTTGGTCTCCTCTTCTCTGAAGGCTAAACAAACCAAGGGGACTCAGCCATTCCTCATACATCTTGCCCTCCAGACCCTTCACCATCTTGGCAATCCTCCTTTGGATTCTCTAATACTACTGTGTCCTTCTTGTATTATGGCACGCAGTGCTGGAGGTGAGGCCATGCAGAACAGAGTGGGACAGTCTCTTCCCTTGTCCAGCTGACAGTACTGGGCCTGATGCACCCCAGGATATGTTTCGCCTTCTGGCTGTCAGGGCACAATGCTGACACAGATTCAACTTGCCATCAGGCAGAACTTCCAGATGCTTCTCTGGAGGACTGTGCTCCAGCCTTCCATCCTGCAGTCTGTACGTAAATCTGCAATTGTCTTGTTCCAGTACTGAATCCAGCACTTGCTCTTCTTAAACTTCATGTCCAGATCTTGAGTTTGTCAAGCTCTCTCTGTAAGGCAGAGAGGTAATTGGAAAAAGTTTTGGATTGGCCATAGACTTACTGTTATGCACTGAAAATGGCGCAGGCTGGAGCAATAGGTCTTTATAGAGAAAGCAAACAGTATAAGAAATGACTGAAGGCATTCGCCTTAAGGCTAATGTAAGCACTTGATACACTATTTGTAATGTAAGATTGAGGGTCTTGTCTGAAAAACAGATTCTAAAAAATAGAATCAGAATTTTTTGGTTGATTCAAGAGCAGATGGCATAAATCTGACAGTAACAAGTTTTTGAAAGGAATTAAAAAATAACTTTTTCATGATTTTTGACTGAGTGTGTGTCGAAAGATAACATGCCAAGTCATGACAGATGCAGGCGTTCTTGTCTTAAGTATCTCCAGTCCCTACTGAAAGAGAGCAAGGATAATAAGTGTGAAAGTGGAGAGTGATGCAAGTACTAATGAAGTATGAGTGGTAAGTAGAAATATTCAGTTGCTGACCTGGAGGTAGAAGGAGAGGAAAGGGGAAAAAAATAGTAAATTTTTCTCAAAGGTAGGTTAATACCAAATACAGTAATCTGTTAGAAAATACCACTGTATCAAACAAATCTTAAACTGAGACTGAGAGGAGGGGAGTCTTCCCTTACAGATTTATCTGAGAAAAAGAAGCTGCAGCAATACATATTAATGGATAATCAACAAGAAGGAAATCAGAATTAGAATTTCCAATTAGGAAATTATAAAAGTCAGATAAATAGTACACTTTCTAAGCAAATGTGAGAGCTTAGCTGTGAATAGAAGTAGCAACCTGAGCAAGAGAACCAAGTATCTTGAACTACTGTTTCAGGATATGAAGTTGGAAATTACAGTGAAAACAGAAATGTGAAAAGGACATGAGGAATGTATTCACAAGCGAAACCAATAGTACTGTAGAATATGTGTTGTACTAGAAATGTAGAAATGAGGGGAGTGCAGAATAATACCAATAGTAATACAATAGATAAAAAGTAACATTCATTAAAATAAAAGATCCTTTAAGTCAATAAGCACGTCTACTTCTGTGAATTTGCAATAGTGTTCTTCTCTCTGGCACAAATGTAAGTAAAGGACTTAAGTACACTCTTAAGTAGACTTCTCTAGTGCTCTTAAGTATCTTTATCAGTCACATAGACAGTGAGATTGAGCGTACCCTCAGCAAGTCTGTGGATGACAGTATGTTGGATGGTGCAGTTGTCACAACAGAAGGAAGGGATGCCATCCAGAGTGGCCTGGACAAGCTTGAAAAGCCCAGACGAACTTAATGAGATTCAACAAGGCCAAGTGCAACGTATTGCACTTGAGTCAGGGAGGTCTCAGATGTGTACACAGACTTAGGGAAGAATTCATTGAGAGCAGCCCTGCAGCTAAGGACTTAAAGGGATCTAGTGGACAAAAAGTTTGATAAAAGCCAACAGCGTGCATTTGCAGCCCAGAAGGCCAGCTGTACCCTGGACTGCACCAAAAGAGAGATTGTCAGCAGTGGGAGGGAGGTGATTATCCCCTTCTGCTCTACCCTCATGAGGTCCCATCTGGATTACCGCATCCAGATTAGGAGACTTCAACACAACAAAGATGTGGAGCTGTCGGAGTGGGTCCAGAGGAGAGCTAAAGAAATGATCAGACAGGTGGAGAACCTTTTCTATGAAGAAAGGCTGAAGGAGCTGGACTTCTTCAGCTCAGAGAAGAGAAAGCTCTGGGGAGACCTCATTGTGGTCTTCCAGTACTTAAAGGGAGCTTATAAGCAGGAGGGAGACTGACTTTTTACACTGTCTGATAGTGGTAGAACAAAGGGGAATGGTTTTAAACTAAAATAAAGGAGATTTGGATTAGATATTAAGAGGATGTTTTTCACTCAGAGGGTTGTGAAGTATTGGAACAGGGTGCCCAGAGAAGCTGTGGGTGCTTCATTCATGGAGGTTTCAAGACCAGGTTGGATGGGACCCTGGGTAGCCCAATTTAGTGGGGGCTAATCCTGCCCATGGCAAGTGGGTTCAAATTAGGTAATCTTTAAAGTCCCCTCCAAACCAAGCCATTCTATGATTCTTGAAAACATATTATAATACTGACAATTTTGTAACTTAGTGGAAGTACCAGGAGAGAAATGCCCTTGTGTCTAATGATAGAGCATAGGTTTTCCTGGGTTTGTCTGAAACGTCTGAAACAGAAGTTGTCTGGTTTCTGTGTATCCCTTTCCAGCCACTCAAAGAATGAAAAAGATCTGCATAAATAATTATGTTTAAATTCAAATAACAATTGCACTAGTCGTGTGTGGGTTTTTATTGAAATTAAATGTAAAAATGTAAACAAATTGGTTCTGTAGTAGGGTACATCACTTAAACAGACTTTTGTAATCTAAATGAATTGAAATAAAACAAGGGGCCTGAGGAGATGAAGAAGGCATGGGATTTAGAATCAAAGGTTGGAAGTGACCTTAAAGACAGTCTAGTTCTAACCCTCTGTAGGGACGTCTTCCACTAGACCAGGTTGTTTGAAGCCCTATCCGGCCAGGCTTTGGACACATCCAGGAATGGGGCTGCCACAGTTTCTTTGGGCAGCCAGTTCCAGTGCCTCACTACCCTCAGAGCAAAAAATTTCTTCCTAAGTTATAATCTAAATCTCCATATTTCTGTTTTAAAACCATTGCCTCTTGTCCAAACTCTACTCCCCCTGATAAAGAGTCCCTCCCCACGTTATTCCTGTAGGTCCCCTTTAAGTAGTGGAAGGCCTCTGTAGAGTTTCCCTAGGGCCTTCTTCAAGCTGAACAAATAAACTCTCAGCTTGTCTTCATACTAGAGGTGCGCTAGCCTTCTGATCTTTGTGGCTCTCCCCCAGGCCCACACTAACAGGTCCATGTCTTTCTTATGTTGGTCTCCCCAGAGCTGAACGCAGTATTCCAGGTGGGATCTCATGAGAGTGGAGTAGAGGAGGAGAATCACCTCCCTCAGCCTGCTAGGTACATTTCTTTCAATAAAGCCCAGGGTATGATTAACTATCTGGATTGCAAACACACATTGCAAGCTTGTATTTGGTTTTTCATCCAGCAGTACACTTAAATCCTTCTTTGCAGGGCAGCTCTCAATCCAGACATTTTTCAGCCTGTATTCATGTTCAGGATTGCCTTGGCCCAGATGCAGAACCCTGCGTTTGATCTTGTTGAACTTCATGAGATTTTTGTGGGTTCGCCACTCAAGTCTGTCAAAATCTCTCTAAATGGCATCTCCTTCTCTCTAGAGAACCAACTGTACAA